CTCCCCGAAAATAAGGCCAAGTACTTATTTCAGGGATCAAAAGAAAATAAGACTCCATCTTATTATCGGGGAAACCGGGTAGGTTTTCCTTAATACCTTTAATTTCAGTGCACTGGAGGAAGTGTTTAGTTTCAGAAGCTTCAACCTGGAGACTTTTTAATAATATTGTATCCCAAATGAATTAAGTATGTAAGAAAAGTAAGTACCAAATATATGCAAATACTGTTTTGTGTTCATTATATTGATTATATTTTTATTGATTAATGATCAAAATAAAGTTCTATCAGTAATTACATCAAAGACATTGCTTATATTCTAGATATCCTAACTTAAAGTCTGTGCACGAGCTGATCTATAAGCGCGGTTATGGGAAGATCAACAAGCAGCGTATAGCTTTGACTGACAACTCTCTGATTAAAAAAAGCCTGAGTAAGTACAATTTACTTCACATTGCTGCTTAACTAGTGATGGTTTTAAGTTATAGCTACACCTGTAAACCTGAGGTATGTTTTCTTTGAGGTACATATTGTAACTTGTACACAACATGATGTGCTAGTTCAGTTATATTTTGGGTGTGGGTGTGTGCAGAGGCTACTTTTCTTTGAAAATTCACCCAATCCTTCTGCAATATAATATATATTTACTCATATTATTGAGCTGCCTTTTCCAATCTTGGTAACTTGCTGTGCTAAGGAACACAGCAATATATAATGTTCAGAATAAGATTTTAGAATTCCAGCTACTTGTTCTTGCAGCAGTTACATGTGTTCAAAACATCTGAGGTCAAAATGTTTCAATCTATAAACAACTAACTTCACTGGAAAAGTTCTAATACTATGAATTATATTTTCTGACAAGATTGAAATCTAGATTCATATAACAACTTGTAACTGAAGTAATGAAACTTTTATAATTCTTAGAAGAATTATGTTTGGAAACCTAATGATAAATATTCGCTCTATTGAGCTTTTGAGATCTTGCAAATTAGAATAACAGTAAAGATTAACAATTCCAGAAGTTTAAAATATGCAACATGCACTTTCTAGTACAGCGGGAGTTAAAATAGTACATCTTTAATTATAAATATATATTTAATCTAAACAATAATTTGGCTATATTTGTATTTAAAAGCTGCAAAATCACATTTTGTGTGTTTTGTGGGTGTGTGTGTATTAATCAAATCAGAATAAATAATTGTATGCAAAATGTTTTGAATTTGAAACATTTTGAATTTGTAAGACAAGTTTGAAATGCTCTGAATTTTGAACAGCTATTCCAAATATTGAAAAAGTGTTCCAAAGTTGAGAAAGTACCACTTGGAATTCAAAACAGAGTGCAAAATTAGCACTTCTGAAATGAGTATTTCCAAACTGGCCAGAACAATCTATTTTGAACTTGGGACCACTATTTTCAAGCTGGTATTATTTAGACTTTGACACATTTTGCACATTTTCATTATTTGAAAATAATTGAGTGTGTTTTACAGTATATATAAATTTGCTATTTATACTTGGGACATTTAATCTTTCACTGCTTTTAAGGGTCTCTGAATGGAAGGACTTTGTTATATAAATAGTCAGAAAAGTAAAGTATTGAGCAGATGGTTTGTTAAAGGGTCAAGTACCTAAAATATTGCTTCACCTGGGGACTCTGCCTTTTTTCTGTTTTATATAAGAGCAAGCAAAGGGTATATCCTTCAAGTAGCATGGTCTGATTGGAACATTCATAATTATGATGAGTTTTATAGACGTCTGATTTCTACAGAAAATTTATTTCATGTAGACTTGTTACTGGGATGTGTATTTGCATATGATGCACAGAAAGTCATCCACACTGGGGTCTCTAGATTTCTAGTTAAAACACTTCTGCTGCAAACTCCCATCCTCCCAGGGAGATTCAAAAGGAGATTTTATTCAAAAGTAGAAGAAATTTAAGCCCTTCTAGAAAACTATGCCAATTCAAACAATTTCTAAACTTAACAGCTGCAGTGATTCATTTAATAAGTGTGGCAAGAAAAGTTGTAAAATGGGCAAAATTCACATAACTGTCTCAATTAGCAACAGAAATTTTGGCTCAATTGTCATAAATCAAACCTATATTCTATTTTTCATGGTTCTCTTACAGCTTTTGAGGTATTTCCTTGCCTGACTTCTTGCTGCCTGGAAGAAAAACTGTTTTGCTCGTGTCATTAGCACAATAAAAGCAAATCAGAATTTTATTTCTTCTTTAAAGGCCACCAGAGACAGGAATATTCCGATTCTTGGTTCTTCAGAGTTTGTTCTCAGGACATTACCTTTTCTGAAGGTGTAGATTTATTTGATTGACAGATTTGCTTTAACTATTTCATATCTGAACCTGCCAGGATGGGAAAGTTGAAATATTTTGAACAGGGTAAAAATAACCATCTCAGCATATTTAATATGCCTTTCATGAGCAAGCAAGAGCATTTTGCAGGCTGAATATTTTCTGATGTTCATTTTCAGAAAAATATGGCATTATTTGCATGGAAGATTTGATCCATGAAATCTATACTGTTGGCAAAAACTTCAAAGCTGCAAACAATTTCCTCTGGCCATTCAAGCTATCTTCTCCAAGGGGTGGAATGAAGAAGAAAACAACTCATTTTGTAGAAGGTGGTGATGCAGGAAACAGGGAGGACCAGATTAACAGGATGATTAGGAGGATGAATTAATGGTAAGATACAGTTAGATGATTACATTTCCAACATACAAATTTTGATCCCTTCATTTTTTTTTACTAGTGCTGTTGTTATGTTGTTAATTCTACACTTTAAATAAATACCAGAAAAGGAATTAGTTTCTTTCCTTAATGAGTTTTAAATGTTGCCTTTCTGGGGCTGTGAGGGAAGGAAGAATAGATTGAATTTTTATTGGGGCATAGGATAAAATGATTAAACTTATGTTTACACTCTAAGTGTATTCTAATTGTATTTTAAATACAATTTTAACTATTGTGCTGGCTGTAGCCAGTCCATCTAGTTGCCACCTGCTTTGTAGAATGTAGTCCTGAAAGTACCAAAGGTTCTGTGTGATCCTTGATTCAGAAATGGGGAAGTAAATGCAATATAGAACATTGGTGGTTTTTAGAAATTTTAATACATTACCTGTATTCAGTTTTTTTCTCTGTGAAATGTGATTTGTTTTCTGCTTTTTAAGTGTTAATATCTCTTCTCTTCTAGAGACTCAGAAGATGACTGCTCTACATATTGTTAATAAAGAGAAATATGAAAACTGCTTGCAATGTTAAATTCTTTTACTGATACATGAAGTGCTTCTGAATATTCTGATTCCACTAAATATGATTAGGTAGTACAATCTTGAAGTGAATGTTGTTATTAAATAACCTGAGAGTTATAAGATAACTTCAGTAAATACAAGGTGTATCTGTATGGTGCATAAAAAGACACATGACGATTTCAGTTATCTAACAGTGTCAACACCTGTTTCGCCAGAGTAAAAGTTTTAGCTAAGTTGTGTGTCTTTATATTAAGTAACTTGCTCACTGCCTGTGCATTTCAGACACATACGCTTAATCCTGCTTCTTTCAATAAACCAGTGGGATAAGCTAATGGAACTATACTTCAGTTAATGGAAGGAAAACATACATACTTTATATTATTGGGTTGACTTAATTGCTGAATAGCTCTTATAGTAATATAATTTCTCACTAAACATTTTTAGTCAGGAAATTGTTTTCTAATTAAATCAGGGTTTGACATCTAGGTATTTTTCTTTTTGGTGTCCAAATGGCATTGCCTACAAAGAGAAATGGGCCCTGTGTAAAAGTAAGATAAAACATGGTACAGTATAAGAATTAAATTCTGATTAAGTTGCTTGTCAATCATTGGGCTATTAAGTGAGTAAGAATAATACCAGGATTTTTTCCCCCTGATAATTGGACATGAGGTAAGGAAAAAGTTCCATAGTAGAGCAAGGAAAGGAATGGTCTCTTCTTTTGTATTAAATGTTGCAATTGTGGGGAGCATGAGGTATTTCAGTAGGTTGGGGAAGCTTTGGGTGGTATTAGGCAGGTAGCCTGTTTCATCACTAGCGCCCCCCCCCCCTCCCGGCCTTCCCCACCCTAAAATACTTCATGCACTTAATAAGCCACACATTCGCGAATGCATGGGCAAAAGGAGGGAATGATCCCGCTCAAGGTACGAGATTCACTCCCATGAATCCTCAGGTTATGAATGGAATGGGCTGGCTCCATTGCAGTTGTAACTCAAGAACTTCCTGTACAGCCATTAGCAATTGAATAGTTGGGAAAGGAGGAAATGCCTACAACTTCAGAAATATGCTCAGGATTGAGAGATCATCTGAAGCAACTAATAATTGCAGGAAATGGACAAAAATTATTTTCTATTCCTGTGTATTCAGCATATTCTGGGTTTGTGATTAGGTTTATCATCTTTGCATTATCTCAGCAAAGCCAATCTACAGATATTAAATTTCTATGTTGCCCATCTCGCTATCCAAAGTTATAATTTAATAGAGACCTAGTTTGGTGTAATGGTTAAGGCATAAAATTGGAAGCCAAAACACCAGGGACATGCAGTCAGGGGAGGCGGGGCCTCACCAGTGTCATGAGGAAAAGAAAAGGAAAAAGGCTAAGGTAGTTGCTGCCGGAATGACTCTGCTTAGTGCTAATTGCAAGGGGAGGCGAGAGAACTATGGGCCTCCTTTACATAAGGAATTTTTCGCCTTTTAACCCTTGCTCAGAGTTAAGCAAGGGTTAAAAGGCAAAAATTCCTTATGCAAAGGAGGCATGTGGTTCTCTGCCTCCTGGTCTGGGAGCAGCAGGTCTTGCCTAAGTTGCCTTTTTCTTTTTACATTTTCATGGCGGACAAGAGGAGAGTTGAAATGATTTTCTGACACAGCTGGAAAAGGTGGGTCCGAGGGAGGGGGCAGGGGGGAGGAATTCAAAATTCCAATCATCCATCCCCTATAATATGCAGCTATAAAGTGATATTTGATGTTTGAGTATATAAGTGTAGTAATATGGGACATCATTTTGAAATGGTCAGTTTCCGATAGAAAATTATAGTTATTCTTGAACACTTCCCAAAATTCACTGCAACAAGTATGTATTTGGTTCACCAGTTGAAAGAGAAATGGTTCCCTGAAGAATATTTAAAGTGGTAAAAAGAAG